AAACACCAGGGTACCAAATTTGGAATGTTGGTATGATCTCATGTTTGACAAAACATGTATTATTAGTAGAACCTACCATTTATTCAGTACCTGTTCTATTTTTGGCACTGTTTTAAGTGAGTTACATATATTGTCTTGTTTTCTCCCGACATAAATAATAATATGATGTATTTTAATAATAAATAATACACCATTTATCCTCATTTTACAGATGTGAAAACTGAGGCTTAGGTTAAGTAAGTTACTCAAGGTCACATGGCCAGTACGTGTGAGAGTCGGGAAGATCCTGACTTCAGCAGCGCTTTGCACAGTGGTATATACTGCCCCTAACAGATACATAGAGAGATACATAAAAATGTTAGTAATTGTTATCTGTGGATGTGGAGGTTTTTTTTCTTTTAGCTTATTTGTATTTTCTCATTTTCTTCAGTGAGCTTATTTGCCTAATAAATAAAAGGGGGAAGAAATTGAACCATTAAACAACTTCCTTTTTGTCAAAACAAAAGGAGATAGAGGGAGAAAGGAAAGAAGGGAAAGTAACAGAAAGAAAGGTAAAAAAAAGAAAGGAAGAAAAATGGAAGGGAGAGGAAGGTAGAAGGGGGAATAAAGGAAGGAAGGAAGGAAGAATGAGAGGGCAGGATGTCTTCCTAAGGTGGCCGGAAGGGGGACTAGATGGGTGTCCACAGCTCTGTACCATCATGCCTCATTTTGGGCATGGCATTGAATGCAGTCCAGCTCAGAGGACAGGAGCGGAGGAAACTGTCCTTCAGAACACAAGAGTGTGGGAAAGGGACCTGCACGCATTTAGAACACTGTTCTTGCCAGTGTGGAAAGTTAGGTATTGCAGTACGAAAATGAGTTGTAATTAATATTGAGATCTTACCTTCTATAAAGTGTAGTTGAAGCAGACACTATTAGCTACCAAAAACTTGCCCCGTTTGATTGTCAAGGTATATTTTGGGCACCAGCCGCGGAAAGGGGCAGAGTAAAGATTAGCAGCTGGAGTGGTAGCAGTTCAGTGGGAGAATAGTGAGGGCAGCAGTGGGACATAGGAGGGTGACCATACAATTTATCTTTCTTTTTTTTTTTTTTTTTTAAAGATTTTATTTATTTATTTGACAGAGAGAGACACAGCGAGAGAGGGAACACAAGCAGGGGGAGTGGGAGAGGGAGAAGCAGGCTTCCCGCGGAGCAGGGAGCCCGATGCAGGGCTCGATCCCAGGACCCTGGGACCATGACCTGAGCCGAAGGCAGACGCTTAACGACTGAGCCACCCAGGCGCCCCACAATTTATCTTTCGAAATTAAAAGGGTTCCTATTAATCATTAGCTGGGACAGCAGACATAATTTAGACCTGTCCCTGACAAACTGGGAAGTTTGATCACCCTAGAGAGGCCAGATAAATCAGAAGAAGCAAGAAGCTACAAAAACCACATAAAGGACATGAATATGAAAAGCAACGACAAACATTTTTGCAAGGCCAGCCTCATTAACAATCAAAGAAATTAAAATGACAACAACAAAAATGTTTCCTTTCACTTCTCAAAATTGCAAAAATCATTTAAAAAATAATAGAGCTACTATTTATTGAACTCCATGTACTTTCTACACCTTTTAAAAAATTTAATAAAGTTTTTTACTTTAAAATAGGTTTATATTTATAGAAAAGTTGCAAGACTGTTACAGGAAGTTCTCATATACCCTATATTCAGTTTCCTTTTACATGACTGTGGAACATTTGTCACAGCTAATGAACCAATATTAATACATTATTTTTAACTGGAAGTCCATACTTTATTTGGGTTTCCTTAGTTTATACCTAATGTCCTTTTCCCATTCATTTCCCATTACATTTAGTTAGCATGTCTCCTTAGTTTCTCACACTTCATTGTTTTTGATGACCCTGACAATTTTGAGTCCTGGTCAGGTATTTTGTAGAATGTTCTTCAATTTGGGTTTGTCTGATGTTTTCCGTATGCTTAGACAAGAGTTACGGTTTTTTGGGAAGAAGACCACAGAGGTAAAGTACCATTCTTATCGCATCATATCCAGGATACGTACAATCAACATGGCTCATCACTGTTGATGTCAGCCTTGGTCAGCTGGTAGTATTCTCAGGTTTCTCCACTGTAAATAACTCTTTTCTTCCCTTTCCCATATTCTACTATTTGGAAGGAAGTTACTATGCAGCCCACATTGAAGGAGTAGGGAGTTATGTCCCACCTTGTTGAGGGCGGTGTATCTACATAATTATTTGGAATTCTTCTGCACAGAGAGCTGTCTCTTCTCCATTATTTACTTATTTAATCATTGATTTATATTAGTATGGACTTGTGGATATTCATGGTATACTTTGGGTTATAATCCAGTATTTATTTTGTCAGTCAAATTGTCCCAGCTTTCTTTCAGGTTGGCTCCTATGACTCTCCGGCAGGCTCCCATCATTTGTTTTTTAGCACGCACTTACTTTCTGGCGCTGTTAAGATGCTCCATGCTTTTCTTGTGTATTTAATGCCCCAGTCCCAGAATCAGCCATTTTCTCAAGAAGTCCTGGTTCCTTTTCCTGGAGAATGGTATTAGAAACCAAGATCTGGGCCCTAGGTGTACTTCTTGCTACTGGGTGTTGTTATTTCTACGCCCTCTTAGCGGACAGTGTTATGAAATATGTATCTGTAGTACCACATATGTACCTATATATCGGTATTACTTTTCTGTCTATATCCATGTCTGTAATAAGCTAAACATGAACTCATACTTAGGACTGATTCTCACCCAGTACTGCATGGTTCATTCTAGCTTCTCACTTCACTTATCTGAAACCTGTCAGTCCAACAACCGTGAGAGACTTCCACCACCCACCATACATTTCCTTATACTCAGTTTAGGTGAGAGTGCCAGAAAATTGGCACTGTTGGTGCTATTGGTGGGAATGTTGGTACATCCTTTGTGGAAGGCACTTAGGTAGAATATGTCAAAAACCTTAAAAGTGGGCTGCCTGGGTGGCTCATTCATTAAGCATCTGCCTTCAGCTCAGGTCATGATCCCAGGGTCCTGGGATCAAGTCCCGCATCGAGCTCCCTGTTCCACTAGAAGCCTGCTTCTCCCTCTCCCACTCCCCCTGCTTGTGTTCCTGCTCTCTCTCTGTCAAATAAATAAATAAAATCTTTAAAAAAACACAAAACACCTTAAAAGTATCAGTTGGTCGAAGGTCAGAGGATCAGTTCAGTCTCTAATCAAGAGGGACAAAGGCAAGGAAAGTAAGAGCCCTTTGAACTAAGGCCTGAGTTCTGGACAAGGGAAATGAGGCAAGCACAATGGAAGAATAGGAGAAGTTAGGAGACTTGAGATATTGAGATGGAAAGCATCAGCCTTGATGGCATTCCTCTTTGGTGATGGGAAGTGGAACTCTAGACCCTATAGCAGGGCCTCAATATTAAGTGCAGGAGACTCTAGAGGCCATCGGTTGCTGAGCTGTCACTTACTTATATGCAACACACAAGACGTCATCACAGTGAACCAGATCAAGGTAGGAAAAAAAAAAAGGCCCGTGATGTGCCATGGTGTCAAGACGATTAGTTATAGGGTACATATAGATATCTGGGGCTTCGCAGACCTCATTGGTGGTAATGTTAAGGAGAGAGAGCCAGAGTTGCTGTAGCATGGAGAAGGCTAGAGCCCAACTGACGCTCTTACTTGATTGGAAATTCCATTTTTATACCACCCTGACACCTCCCCATCCTATACTCAGCTGGTGAAAAGGATGACTTGAGAAGGAAAGCTCTTACAGCTTTAAATGTCTTCAGCACTTGGGGCAGTCTTGTATCATCTGGGATGTATTTTTTTGTCCTCCCTTTTAGAGTCTGAGTTCACGGAGAAGGCTGTATCTTTATCCTTACATCCTTCACATGTGATAGAACACCAGAAACAAAGCAATTGCTTGTAAATCAATGGAAGATATCTAACCTAAAGCAGGCACCTGTGTTAGGTGCTTTATTCAGGTTGAATTTTAACCTCTAGTGAAAGCGAGTTTTTGTAGAGAAGGGGGATACCTGGACAGCTTTGCAAAATTTGCCTTTCACAACCACAGAGCTGGAGTTTAGAGACCATCAGTCTAGGACTGCATGGTTGATGGACCGATCCTGTGTCATGGACTGTTCATTGGTTTGCAATAAGTACAGAGATGGAAAGCACTTAGAAACTTTTATGGTATTTGACATCACAGAAACATCTAGTCCTGTGATCATTTTTCTAGTACTTCCTATTTGTAACAGTATTTCAATAGTATTGGTTTATGAAGGGTTGGAAATGAAAGAAACAGAATGGTCTGTCTTTTTTCCCCTCTCAAATTACTCATTTATAGTTTGGTTCTCTACCTTTTCAGAGAGGCAAGGTGGTATAAACATGGGCTCTGGAGGTAGGGTACCCAGGTGGGAATCTGGTTCTTCTGCTGTCTGGATGGGGGACCTTGGGCAAATTACTTAATCTCTGTTCCTCAGTTTCCACTTCTGTAAAAATGGGCTACGATGATGACAGAATTTTTTGTAACTATGTCCTGAGGCGGTTGTGATAATAGAGTCCACACATGTAAAGCAGATAGAACAGAGCCTGCCATGTAGTGAATGTTGCACAATTACTGGCCACTGTTATTTTTATAGATGAAAAGCAGACCCACAGAAGTGGTGAGAGGGGCTTGTGGTTACAAGGCTACTCAGAGAGAGACCTGGATCCCCAGACATACCAACGGATTCTGTGTTCTCATTTTTCTCTTAATCGCAAATCTCTGCCTACCAGCAATGATCATACTCTCTGAATTCTTGCATGCTCATCTCCCACTCTGCTCTGACCCCTCATTTGCTCTGTGCCCTCACACTGTTCGCTGTAAAACACGTCTCTGTCATTGTGGTCTCAGTTGCGTCCCTGCCTCCCTGACCACGATGGAATCACTGCTTTCCTGTGTTCTGGGGCTTTCGTTTCTCTACTGGAGTCATCACAGGGATTACCTGGGCTGGCTGATGTCCCGACAGAGCAGCAACTTTGCTGCTTAACAACAATGAGGACGTGTCACAGGATGACTGCAGCAGAGATGAGTGGTGACTGCAAATGTTTATGAAAATGATGACTGATTTTCCTGCAAAGAAAAATGAATCACACAATATGCTGCTGATGCAGGCCATTAAGTCAGTCCTTGCGGGACAAGCAATATTGACCTGTCGTGGAAAGAACAGTGGGCGACAATGGACAAAATGTTTTAATTCTCATCAGACCCTGCCCATATGAAGGAACTGATTTACTACAAGACTGGAGTTAGTCTTACTTATGTTTTGTAAAACATAAACAAGCAAATAAAAAAAATATGCTCCCTTGCCTGTCTGCTAGGCCTCCTAAAAAATTCTTTATTTTGAGACAATAAAGAACACCATTCTCCTCATATAATGCCTCTCCTCCCTCAAGGCTTTAAAAAATCATTTTCGAACCCTTTCTAAATTTTATGTCCTTGGACTGCTTATATACCATACTGTATTTCTTAAAAAATGATTTAGTGAGGATTTATTGTGTGCTGGGCCCTTTTCTAAGAGCTTTATGTATGTTAACTCATTTGATCCTCACAGCCACCCTGGGAAATACATTCTCTTTATCCCCTTTCTAATTTGGGGCACAGAGAGACGCAGGGACTGGCAGGGTGAATGTGCTCCTGGCAGGTGTCTGCTGGGGTCACCCGCTCACCACTGCATGAGGAGCAGTGAGGGAGATGCCATTCCTGCCTCTGCCCCTCAGCCACCCCTCATGCCCCTTCTCCCTCATTCTGTCTCCTTCCAACCTTTCCCCTTACCTGAGAGCATAGCATTCTACTTTCTGTCCTGTGGGGCAGTGACTGGGTCATCACTGGAAGTTCCCGTCACTTCCTGTCCATCTTCCTCTGCTTGAGAACAAATCTGAATAATGAAGTTGGGGAAATTGTAAATACAGACCCTACAGTCTGATGTAAGCATCCCTAGGACCTTGGCTTTCTCCTCAGAAATACAGTCCTTAGATTTGTTTTGTTTTTTCAGTAACATGTTTTTTTTTTTTTTAAAGATTTTATTTATTTATTTGAAGAGAGAGACACAGCGAGAGAGGGAACACAAGCAGGGGGAGTGGCAGAGGGAGAAGCAGGCTTCCCGCCGAGCAGGGAGCCCGATGTGGGGCTCGATCCCAGGACCCGGGGATCACGACCTGAGCCGAAGGCAGACGCTTAACGACTGAGCCACCCAGGCGCCCCTTCAGTAACATGTTTTTAGGAGGGAGGGAGAGAGAGAAAGAGAAAGGGACTGTGGAGTAATGAGAGGTATTTTAGAAGCTCTGGAATCTAATTGTTAATCCTATCATTGATTAACTTTCCATTGCTTGAACAGAAATTGGGGTGAGAATATTGAGGAATTCCCCAAGATGGTTTGTGACCAAGGGCCAGATTCTTTTTTTTTTTTTTAAGATTTATTTATTTATTTGAGAGAGAGCTAGCAAGCAAGTGAGCATGAGCAAGGGGGGTGGGGGGCAGAGGGAAGGGGAGAGAGAATCCAAAGCAGACTCTGTGCTGAATGTGGAGCCTGATGCTGGGCTCGATCTCACAACCCTGATATTGTGACCTGACCTGAAACCAAGAGTCAGATGCTTAATCTACTGTGCCACCCAGACACCCCCAAGGGCCAGATTCTTATACCATTTCTTTTACTGTTAGAAAGCAAAAATACTAAAGGAAGAAGAAATATGTGATTTAAAATTACATAAGCAGCAAGTAGGTTCTTATATCAGGTTGGATTCCAGTATTATTCCAGTGTTCTTAACTTAAGAAGGCTACCTCAAAGCAAATGTCAAAAAAAAAAAAAAAATTCAAAGACTAGACTGACTAATTTTAAACCAATGCTATTTGAATTAAATAAACAGTATATAAAAAGTCTAGATGGATGAGATCTCAGTAATCTCATCCATAATATTTTATGAGATTCTGTAGTGTGACGTATACTGTATTGATTGGGAAGGGCATCTTCTCTTCCTAGAGCAAATTAATCTGGACACAAATAATAATCAGTGCTAATACTGCAATGCTGCCCAGTGCCCAAAGAAATAAGATTTTTATGCTTTCAACTGGCCTCCCATTTAGTAAATGTTGTATAAGATAGCTGGTAAGACTTCTGTGTCTCTAGCATGCTGCTTGTAAACATGAGTTGAAAGACCCTGGCATATATACTCAAGTTTGCATTAGAGAGAGTTCTGGAGCTTGTCTTGCCTGCCATTTTTTGACAAGTATGGGAAAGCTAGGCTAAAAAAGGTATACTTGCCAGAAAATAAGAGAAAGATAAATTGGAAAAAATAACAAACTTTTAGAAATGATTAGAATCTTTGAAAGAAATCATTATCTTGTACATGTTACGTTCTTTAATTTTGGTACTTTAGGAAACAATAAAGCACTGTCAACTTGAAAGAATTTAATGTAGCATCTAGAAATGAAACACAGACGGCCCATTTTCTAGCTTTGGAAGTGAAATATAGGCAATTTATGTTAAGTAGAAGAATTTTACAGAACTTCGGATTTATAGAACCAGATTGCAGAGCCTTGAATTTAAGGATTTTTTATGGGAAGAAAGGTAGGGAAGAGCAGGGACTGGGGAGTCTAAGACACATCATGATTAAACAGTGGCTCTTACTGGCTAGATCTTATAGTATAGTACAGATCTATTAAGTTAGAAAGAAAAAGAAGTTTCCAGAGAGAATCAGTGTGGACTTAGTAGATCCTTAGACTTGTGATACATCAAATTCAGGGGAGTCAGTGTATAGGGAAGACAGGGCCTTGGCCCTGGTGGGTGAAGCAGAGATTATATACATACATTCATATATATTATCTCTGGTGGGATTGTACTGTCTGAATATTCAGAGAATAGTGAATTCTCTACACCGAGGAGTGAGTCCTCAGACACAGAGAAGCTCAAGATGGAAGATCTGGGTTGTGTCACACAACACCAAGTGCTCTGATGAAGACTGTCTTGGCAGGGCTGACAAGAGGGACAGTGAGGAGGCAGGGGACCTCCCCAAACCATTCTCCCTGTGCTCCAAATACCTCCTTCCGCTGTTGCTCTGATGCTGACCCAAGCCTGTTGACCGCGTCTCTCGTGGTCCACTCTTCATGTGATGCTTGGCCTGCTCAGGATTTGCCCCTATACCTACTTCTCTGACTGTAAAAAGCCATTGCACATCCTCGGTGCTTGCTGATTCAGTTTGAACAGCTGCCTGACTTACCAGACATTGGCTTATGCATTTTCCAAAGTAAAAACATGATCGTCAGTTTCATAGTTTTGCTTAAGATGGATGCTGTGGGTGACCATTGTGTGTAGTAGCTAATGCTGATTGTGATGTTAGATAAAAGGAAATAGCAGGAAGCAATAAAACCGAATGATAATTATACAGTTGTGTTTTTAGTTAGTAAGTAAGCCAGTTATCTACCCATAAGATTTATCCCAAGTTACAAAATTAACCATTGTGTTTTTCCTCTGTTTTTCTCCTGCTACTTCAAGAAAGTTAACCTGCTTAGAAGAAGGTAAAGAGGAGTTGTGAATGTTTAAAATTCACAGAAAATATTTCCTCCTTTGCTAATTGTTAATGTTAAAAGACTCTGGACAATAAATAAGCAAAAGTAATAGAAAAGCACATTGCTCTCTGTGCTGAATATAGTCAAAGGCAAAATATTATAATTGTTGGAACATATTTTCTCTACTGTTTCATAGAGTTATGTTTATGTTAAATAGATGAGTCATGGGCAATTTTATTTATGAGTTATATGCTCTTTCACATTTACTAGTTATATCTATAAAATATGGACATTTATATAAATTTTAGAAATATATTCATGTATTTGATACATGTTTATAAATATATAAGTATCTACATATTTACTGTATATTTATATAAATATAAGATTTAACAAATAATGTATTTTTGTTCTCATTTATGATGTGTGCTACGAATAATTTCTGTTAAATCTCATGTAATCAAAAACTCACAGTGTGCTGATCTTTTTTCAGAATCTTGGCTCCCATGCTGGGTAATATTATTTCTCTGAGATGTACAAATAGTTTCAGTTTTTTAAAAATGTAATTTGCAGCTATGTAGTTTTCTTCTAATAACAGCTTCTCTCAAAACCACAGAGCAGGGGTCAACAAAAATTCCTGGCTAACTAAAAAGCAATTAGAGAAATCCTCATTAATTTGACTATTTAATTTTTGTTTTTACTTGTAGCAACATTATTTTCCCCAGTAAAACACTAATTTCTAATTCAACAAATAATATCAAGGCAGAGGAGGATGAGGTGGAGAGAAAAAAAGAGAGTTTGAAAAGCCATAAAGTAGCTTATAAAAAACCGATAGTTTTTCTTTTGACTGGCAGCTGCCAACTGCTTTCCCTGCAGCTGTATCAGACATGGTCACAGAATATTCTTGAAAGAGAAATGAAATATATGTTTAATTATGTCTTTAAGCTTATGTAGGAAATCACTTTTCTGTCCTGCAGAACTAAAGAACTACTCGTGTTAATTTAACATTGTACTTTATGAATTGTTTTTATATTACCATGCTGATGAAGGTCATGAATGCATGGGCCTAAAACCATGTTAATCCCAAATCAGTATGCCTCTTTTGTTATTTTAGATATTAGGCATAGTAAGCAAGGTAGTGTATAGATTTTTGAAAAGTGACTTGGAAAATCAGCTCATTTTATGATATGGACTATTGAAAATGGAATTTGTGACTATTCAGATGAAAACTACTTTAAAAAAAAAAACCTCATTGACACGAAACAAACCAAACTCAGTTTTTCCAGTGGAATTGTCAGTTCTACAATACCATGTACCCTTTTGATGGACTACGTGATTAAATGTGGAAGACATTTCAGCCTGGTTGCCAGAGACTCATATTTAGATCCAGGGCTTCCCTTTTGGAATATGCAAATGGGATTTATGCCTCTGGTGAGAATAGTGAATTTGCAAAGATAATAAGAGAGAATAATATGAATTTCATTAAGTGAAATTTATCTTCATGTTCAGTAGATTAAATTACACTACTTTTTAATGTTTGGAGTTTGCTGCAATCTTCCTGATGGCCTCTGTTTTTCTGCTCTGCTTCCTTTACTAACAAAAAAACTCTTGACTGTTTTCTTAGACACCATTTTGGTAGTCTACACCACTGTTACTGTTGATCAAATAATGCCAAACTTAATCACTAGATAGCTATTTAAGTTTGGAAAGAACAATACCCCTAACCCTTTGTTTTTTAGAGTTAGCACAGTATTAGAATGGATTATCCAATAGAAGTTTCTGAACACTGGGCATGGGGTGTGGTGATGACATGGAGCCAGCATGAGCATTGTGATCCCTTACCAGACTGCAGGCTCTGTAAGGGGGGCATCATTTTGTTGTTCGCACCATTGTAGTTCCTGCCCTAGAACAGCACTTCTCACCTAGAATACATTCAATAAATCTTTTGAAAGAATGAAAAAAACAAATCAGAGCAATGCAAACTAACATAAATTCCTGTTTTGATGTTTGTTACTAATTTGGTAGACTAGAGGATACTACCCATAAAGTATATGTGGATTTCAGCAAGATATTGATCAATTTGTACATGATATCTTTCAGGGAAAGATAAGTACATGTTCAGTCACAGGTTAGTTACTTCAGAGCCTGGCCAGTGGTCACTCAAAAAATACCTGTTTAAAAAAAAAAAGAAGCCTCTGGAGAGTAGCTGCATCATGGCATGCTGTGGTGCTTCTACTTAAATCTTTTTCGGGGAGATGAATGAAGACATTCATAAATTAGATGACAGCAGACTTCCAGTTCACAAAGAACACAATGGGCTGATAGAGTAGGTAGAAAGTAAAAAGATGAAACATCAAAAGAATAATGCAAATG